TTCACCCCCCCGGCCATCACGGCAGGGCTTTGGGGAGGGTGCGGGCGGTTTTCTGGAAGCGTCAAGCAAGCGGGTGCCAGGAGCAACGGGGTAGAAAGCAGGGCGGGGGAGATCGTAGAGTCATGGTGTGACCTGGAGACGCTGTCGTCCCTGAAAGGTGTTCAGGTTTCAGACGTGCTCTCTGGGGGCCTTTGAAGTCACCTGGGGGTTAAGAGTGGGAAAAGAGAGACCCTGTTCAGTGCTCTGTTGACATTCTTTCTGTTGACATTCTTTCTATAGACATGCCAGAAGCAGTTTACGTTGTTGGCAACCTAACATTTTCATGTTATGTGATAAAGTTATCTGAAAAGCAGTGAAATATAAATTGGAAATCCAGCTCTGTTGCTTTTCTAGGAAAACTGCCATACAAATAAAGGAATAAATAAATAACAGCCTCATTTTGGAAAGGGCAGGGGTAAGACAAGGAGTTGGGAAGTTGCGTAGAGCCACAGAATGTGTGTAGGCTAAGAAAATCTCACGTTTAGTTTACAAAACTTGTTCCTTTGACAAACTTGTTCTTTCTAAAAAATATTGCCTGTAAATTTTAGATGTGATGCTTGCAATTTTAGCCATCAAATTAGATCTTATACATGCAGAGAGACCCATTAAAGCCAACAGGGATTTTGTGCAACTGGAAGTTTTGTATAAATGGATCTGATTGCAGGATCTGGCTGTAACTTATCTTAGATGTCTCAAATCTGAAAATATAATGAAAGGTGAAAATGAGTCTTGTAAGCTCAAAAATGTAACAGTAAAAATGAATCATTATACTAAGTTGTGCTACAGGCCGATCCATAACGTATTAAAATAATTCTAATACAACTCAAGAAAGTCAGATGACAGAGAAGCTAGGTATCTCAAGTTAAATCAGTGTAAACACTGGGGGGAAGCAGACACTTCTTGGAAAAATTGTGCCAGAGATATTAATGCTGTGTAAAAATCACATGGGCAGACTATAGCTGACAAGATTGATAAAATTAGAATCAACTTAAAAATATTAGGGAAGCTGTTGGACTTTTTTTGTATTAACATCAAGGTTGCCTGAAGGTATGTACTTAAATCCAAGCAGCCTGATTTCAAAAATTCATCTGCATTTTGGAAACAGTAAACTGTTAATCTTTGAAAGCCAACCCTTTTTTCAATTTCTGTTTAGCTCAAGTTTCAATTCTTTTGTGGCTTAATTTTCATAAATGTTTATATAGTGATTGGAAATGCTGGGTTCTCAGTGCTTCTAAATTTTGTACGAGATACTTAATTGCCCCATATAGTCTAAAAGAAAATGTGAGCTTGAAAGAGGCACTTGCTGGGAAATGTGAATGCAGGAAATTGCTTTAACTTTTCTCCTTATGATTTCTGGCATTATTTAGGAACAGTCCTGGGGAAAAAACCCCTCTTGAACCATTGAGGCAGTTCCAGCAGACATCATAAATTTGTCAAGGTCCATTTTGAAACTAATTTCTCGTCCCACCTCACATTGGAGGACTTCTCCAGAACATCGTTCCTCAGATGGCTAGAAAACATCTGATTTCCAGTTTTAAACTTTTTATGGTCCGTTTATATCTCTCTGTTCTTTTGCCAGCATCATCCTGTATTTTGCATAGCTTGGTGGTATTTAAAGTCATATTCCCTTTTGGCTTTTGTTTTTCACTGTTTTCCCCAAGCCAGCTGTTTAATCTCCTCTCAGAAGATAGGCTTTCTTTCTGTGCTTATACTAATAATTCTTGTATACATCCATTCCAACTTTGATTCATCTTTCTTGAATTCACTTAACCAGAATGGTATACTTTATTCCAGATGGACTTTCTCTTGTGCCTTGTTTGATAACAATAATACCTCCCACTCTTCCTGGAAATAAGTCCAGCCATCTTTTCTGGAGCTGCCTTGGTCTTTAATGCTGTTTTGTTATTCTTTGTTTGTTGTTTTAGTTTTTTTACTCTCATCTATAAGGCCATCCACTTCTTGAGTGATACTCTGATCCTGTCTTTTCTGATGATGTCGTTCATCACATGAAAGACATCACATCGTTAGCTATTTTCTGTAGGTGTTTCTCTAGTTAATGCCAATGTCACAACAGAAAACATTTAAGCAAAATTATCTTTGAGCATCTTCGCTGATTAGTTCCCTCTGGAAAAATATTTCCCCTTTCAATGCAACTTCTCTTCTTTGCTTGCTCACCTTACATTTCTTGTGCTATGCTGTTTTCCCTAGACTGACAATAATTTCACGTGTTGTGCTGTGCCTGGTGCTTTGTAGAAGTTCAAAGAGATGAGACTGGTGTTTCTCTTGCCTAGAAAAAACATTTGTCAAAGGAAGTTACTAGGTTAACTTAGTGTCAGCTATCTTACGTAAATCCACATTGTATTTTATTTCATTTCCCTTTGATAGACTAGCCCTTATAATATTCCCTTCAAAGTTTGTTATGTTGCATGTTTTGCTGTTGAGACTATCCTGGATCTGTAGATGTCAGGATTGTACGTCCTTTTTATTTTTCATTACAGTGACTCTGTTTGCTCTGACAGGTTTCAGTCACATGATACTCTCCGTTGATATATCAAAAGCATTGCTATGGGAGTGGCAGCCTCATGTACCAATTCTTTAGTATTTTTCTGATGGAGATGATCTATCAACTTGGGGGTTTGCCCCTCATCCCTCTTCCATGCCCTAGGCAATTTCATCATTTTAACGTCCTAATTCTATATCCCATATGCTGTAATTTCTGCTTCCATACTCTTATTCTGCCTTTTGACCACATTCTCCACGTCATTTTTATTGAAAAAGCAAAATACTAACTTTGGTTTGGAATAGTACTGTAATTATATTTGAGCATAATCTCAAGGTGACTGTAGTAGTTCTAACTCTTTTCACATGTTCTGCCTCAAGACATTTTTTTTTTTTATGTAATTTGGTTTGCAAGGTTGACATTTGGTGATTCTTCCTTTAGCCTTTGCTATTGGCTTTTTTCAGGCCTTGCAAACTTTCTTTCCACTTCTAAAAAATGATCATTTATCCAGTTGGATCTGCAGTCCTTCCCTACAATTTTACCCTTGCTCAGGAATCAACTTGCCATTAGGCTTTGTGTCAAATAAATTCCCTATCTTCTCCTTAAGTAAGTCCCAGCACCCTCTGATCTAACTGACTAGAGTTAGGAACAGGTAGTGTCTTCTTTATTCCCTCTTTCATTCTGTTCCTAAACTGCTCCTTTTGGCAAAAAGATGTGGTGGCTGAAAGCTCTTCCATTTTTTTCAGTCTGTCTCCTGTCACCCTGCATATTTTGTTTCTGCCCTGCATGTCCGTAGCAGAACACATTAATGTCAGAGATACTGCCGCTTACTCTGTGGAAGTTATTTGCAAAACTATTGATCATCATCACAATCTTCTGAAAAAAGATGCTGCTGGAAGAAGGGAGTTTATATACAGCTGTGTTTGGTTTGGTTTTTTTTTTTAGGAGCATGGCTGTGGCATCAGCATTTCAAAATAGTTGGGCATGTCATTACTTGTATTCATTGGTCAATAGTGCAACAAATGTCTGTGTAAGATGTTCGTTTTCAACAGCCTGGTGATACAGTCACAAGCTTGTGCCAGTACTGTGTTCCCTCTGGCAGCTCCCACACTTGCTTGTTCACAGTCTTGCCTCAGGCCAACCTGAAAATTTTCTTCCTTGTAACATATTTGACCCTTCCCAACTAGAACTCTTTTTTTTTTTTTTTTTGGCATCTTTATTCCTATGTGTGATGCAATGATTTGCTTCCCACTAAAATGCTGTCTGTCTTAGGTCCTTTGTTGATACATGCAGACTTCTCTGTTATCTTCTGTTGGGTCATTGTAGCGCGTGTCTTTGCCCAGATCATCTTGCAAGTTCAGTACGTGATAATTGAAAATGAAGTATTGTTTGGACTCTTAAATTACTAATGAAGCCACAAGATAATATAGAACTTTGAGCTTTGGCCTCCTTTACTCTCACTTGTTAATTCTTGTCTAAGATTTAGAAGGTAAGCTTTTCAGGGCAGTGATGGTATCTTTATTTGTCTATAAAACATTTGCCACAGTTTTGGGCACTATTTTAAGGCTTTGTCAAGGCTTTTTCCCCACTGACGTCAGCTTCAAATAATTTCTCCTTGGAACACCATTTGCCACTCTCTAACAATTCTCTTTATCCCTTGCTACTCTTACCTAGTTTTGTTTTCTTGCTGTAAAATAACATATAAGATTGGGAAGTTAAAAAACAGTAGGGGCTTATAGAAGCTTATGAATTATGACTCAGAATGAAAATAATCTTTTTTGTATGTTATTTTACATGCAGCAAGTCAATAAAAAAGACTATTTAGTCATAGCTCAATACAAGATAAAATCTTTAGAGAGACCTAGGTGGTCATTTTTTTCCACCATATCTTGTCTTTAAGAAGGACCTTTAGCAGCTGCTTAAGGAAGGAGCTCGAGAATCAAGAAGAGAGTAGTGTAAACCTTCCCCTTGCATATCCTTTCCACTTCTGAAAGTGAATAGCTTAGGGACTTCCCGAGCCCAAGACTGTATCTGGATCATTGTTTCTGATAGCTGTCTGTGCACATATCCTGCATGAATTTGTCTAAACGTTTTTTGAACTCATTTATGTTTTTGGCTTCCATAGTATCCTGTGGCAATGAGTTCCACAATTTAATTATGTGCTTTGTGAAAGAGTACTTCCTTTTGTTTGTTTTAAATCTGCTGCCTGATAATTTCATTGGGTGCCCACTTGTTATGAGAAATAATAAATAACAATTTACTGTTTGCTTTTCCACATTTTTCTTGATTTTTATAAACTGCTACCGTAGTCATCTTAACTTGGAAAACTAATGACTGTAACTGGTGAGTTAAGAGTTATAGTCCAGTTAGTCTCTGTACGGAGACTGTTCTGTAACTTGGGTAATCTGTTCTCCTCCTGTGGTGAATTTGTCCTGGTGTTCCCATGTCTTCATGAGGTGAGATGACCAAACCGGTATGTATTACTTCAGAGGTGGATGCACTGGAGTCTAGTAATATTCTGTATTAGTGTAATCTCTTTTGTGTAGCTGTCTTCTATTACCACAGAAGCCGGTATGACTTGCAGAAGCTGTATGTTTTTTCTTAACTTGTACTCCCAAGAACAGCGGGGGCCTAAAAGCTACTCGGAGTACTCAGGATAAAGCAGTGTCATAGGTTAGAGGCACGTTTTCATCTGTTAATGAAGACTTATTGCTTACATGCTTTCAATTCATGCTCAGGAGTTGAAAAGCAACTATGGTATTCATGTCTCTTCTGGTCTGAGGGGCACAAAATTAGAATAGCCACAACTTACACTTGTGAGTTACGGTAGCTGTAGTAGTTCTGAGGCATCATTATGCTGGAGGGCATTGTGCTTTGTGTCTCCATAAGGTGTGTGCACTGAGACTTCAGCTGGTGTGATCTCTGGTGTGATCTCATTTATTCAACTAGGGAACCTTCATGGCAACATTTCACTAGTAGGTCTGGAGGAATCATGTCTGCATATTGATTCAGATCCATGTTTTTATTCCTAGTGGGTTCATTACTATGTTAGTTCAGATCACAAGTGCACTCAAGGAATACATTTCTTGATTGTGTCTGCTTACCATGCTTTGGTTTGTGTCTCAGAGATGGCAAACTGTCTTCCTTTCAGATGAAACTGTACTGGAAAGATGCACTCAGGGGGCATACCTAATGCACTCCAGCTGTTGCTGGGAATATACCGTCTGTGGGACTAAACTGGAGCTAGGCCAGTGTGAGCTCCCCTGAATTGGTGTTGAGTGCCCAGCACTGTTTTGCTCTACAGATACACTCCTGTTACACTGCACTCTTTGCTAATGTACGTATAGGCAATGTACGTCTCTGTAGGAGTTTTAGAACATTTTTAAACAGTATTAAGCTTACCACTAACTTACTTGTATGAGTCCTTTGCCCTATATGTAGAGCATCTTACAGTTATCACCACAGATCTTCACAGTGCTAAAATAATAACCCAAGTTCATGTATTGAGAGGAAGTTATCTAAGGTGACATAAAGACATATGTAGCAGAGGTACAAGTATAATTTGGATAGATTAAGTCTTAGTCTAATGCCTGTGTCAAAAACATCCTTTTTCCAGAATAGATTAAAAAAAAGGAAAATACTAACAGCCTTAATTCAAAGAAGCATCAGGCTTTGGCAACTGGAGAGTCCTTTCATAACTAGTACTTTGTGATATTTTTGCTGTGACATTTGATTGGCAAAACACACTGCTGCAGACATTCCAGAGCGATACTGGGACATTACTGATTGTTTTTGTCTCTCTGCAATTAAAGTCAGCACTTCTTTTCTGTTCAGGTTTTTGTGCCATAACTATTGCTGTGACCTCTGACATCATTCAGTCATCTTGCATTAAAAAAGGAGAAATCAATATCATTCCATCTTTTTGTAATCAAGCATGTGCTGCAATCCCTGCCTATTACTTGAGAGACTTACTGTACATGTACGTATTCCCAGGCAGCATTAAACCTGATGCAAACTGAAAATACTGTGTCTACACAGTAGGCCACACAGTTCCAGAAGCATACTGAAATTATTGCATATTCACAGCATATTCGTTCTGTGCAGGCACAGTAATATTGCCAGAGGGAGGAAAAGATACCAGGTACGAGCAGTTTCTTAGTATTTAAAGAGAAATTAACCCAGCCTGCATTCTTGCTCTTGGAAGCACAGTGGGCTAGATCAGTTGTTCCGTTGGGCTTTGTGTGTCCCTTAAGCCCCAAGCAGAGCTTTCATGTCTTGTCTTACTATGATGGCATGACAGAGAGAGGAGGACTTCTGAGCAGACTCCTCTGCCTAGGAACAGGTAGAAATAAAAACTGGTTTGTGCTTGTGGATCTTGTGTGTGCTGCATATGAGATTGAGGTTGAATATGTTCTTTCTTCAGTTGAGTATTTCTTCTGCAGTTGGGCTGCATGAAATTTCTTCTGCAACTTGAACCAGCAAAGAGGTGTACCAAAAAGAGACTTCTCAAGAAAGCGTTACATTAATTCTTTAACAGAAGTTAAAATAATTGCATTATTAATAAATCAGATGTCGGGCCATCGTGCCTTTGACCTGAAAGAATAATTTTATGACATTGCATTTTATTTCATTTGTATCTAAGTGAGACGCTTAAAGCTGTGAATCAATGCAAACTGTAAGAAAATGTTTATTTTTATCTCCTAGGCTACTCGACATGCAGAAATGGTGGCAATCGATCAGGTCCTTGACTGGTGCAAGCAACACAACAGAGATTATACAGAAGTGTTTGCACACTCAGTATTGTATGTAACTGTAGAGCCTTGTATCATGTGTGCAGCTGCCGTGCGCTTGATGAGTATCCTTTCATGCTTATTCATGCCGAGAAACCATATGTCGAAATGTTACTCTCTTGGCAGTGAGCCCACAGAGGAGGGCTTGACGCTGTCAGGCAAAGCCAACAGGGGTACCATCTTATGGTTTGAGAGTCTGCACCCACCTCCATTTACTGCATGGTAAATAGTGAGAGACTCAAGAATGAAAGAAGAAACGGTGCAATTATGACAAACAACGATTTCTTTTAGGGATATAAAAATACATTTTAAAGATATCTGTTATTATGTAAAATGAGCTAATCTCAGTTCAGTGTTCAGTTTTGAATGTTTTAACAGTCGGTAAACCATGGCTTTGTATGCCTCTGCTTTGGGATTCTGCTTCTTTTCTGAGGAAGGCTGGATGTGCATCTTCAGCAATACATCTTACATTACTCAGAAGTAAGTTCTGATTTTATGAGGGAGGAATTGTGGTGCAAACTAATTTAGTTTGGAAAGTACAAGCACATTTTAGTGAAATTTAATGACTACTTAAATCAGGCTACTTTACTTCCTGCTCGCTTAATACCTTAACTCATTCACATAAATTCCACGGGTTGTATATGGCTGTCGAAATGAGCGATTTGGAGGCTGTGGCTCAGTTTTGAGCATCTCATCTGATGATATGGTAGACACAGGAGAACCATTTGAAGTAAGCTATAAAATGTTTTCCTTTGTTTTTCAGCTAGGGTACCGTCCCTAGCTTCGTTACCATGCTTTGAGAGTGTTATGCATCAGTTTAAGAAAACTCAGACGAAAGATGATCTGAAGTCAAGTAAACTTGAGTTTACAAGAAAATAATGTAAAAAAATTAAGCCCTTAAATTAAAGAAAATTGAGGAAAAGCCTGATGACAGTCTTAAAATATTTTAAAAGATGCATCAAAGAGGAAAGAAAAGAATTATACTCGTGGAACAAGGTAAGGAATAAATATATCTAAAAGACATGTAATACTTAGAACCGAAAGTGTACGCTGCAGGAACAGATGAGGGAAAAATTATTTTCAACTGCAGAACGTACAAACACATAATCAATAAAGATCAAGTAACAGCAACCTACTAAGTTACTGGTTTTTAGCTGAGCCACTGGAAATGATTGTATTTTTGCTCCCAGTCTATCCATATATGAGGTAAAATGCATTAGTGTAGATCTACTTCATATAGTTCAAATCCCAAAATAAATATGGACTGCAAAAGTAGCAGAGGAGATTTAGTTTAGATGTCGGGAAACTTTCTGAACAATAAGGATACTGAAGGGCTGGAACAAAGTGTCTGGGGAGAATGAGGCATCTTTGTTGTCTAAGAAAGGCTGGACAAGCATTCAGTGGAGGTATAGTATACATAAATGGTACGTTTTACAGCATTGTACTAGTATACCTATATATCTATACATACATACAGATAGTATTTCTAGCATTATATTTATTACATTATACACAGTTGTAGATGATCCTGCTTTATACAAGGATACTGATTAGGGTTCTTAGACTTCTTTTCCACACTTAACATATATGATTTAATGAATGTAAAAAAATAAGTAATATATTTCAGCATTGTAAATAAGCACTAAAGGCTCAAGGCTCAGAAAGAATTTTAGTCAGCAAGACTAAAATTTGGCAGTCCACTGTAAACATACTAAGCATCTTTCTGTCAGGGTGTTTGTGAGACTAGCATCTGAATTAATTTGTATAGTCAGTACTGGAAGAGTGTTCATTTGCTAATATTGGCATGTAGTACTTAATTTTTCTATGTGTTCAGAAGAAAGAAAGGAGAAGATTCTTGGTACTACAAATCCTTCCTTCGTTTCTGTAGGCAACTGCAGTGGGATGTATAGATGTAATTCATTATTTTCTAGTGTGGGTGGAGATTCATTTAGTGTTAGTGACATTTAAATGCTTTGTCATTAATGTTCATGGCCTGGAAAAATATTTTGGGAGCACCAAAAGGGTCTGAGAGGTGACTGTTAGGAATAAAGAATAGGCGTGTGGACATACATTTTCTGGTAGGAATCTTATCTACAAATACCTAGGTGTATGTCTCTTACATTTCCAAGTGCTTGAAGAATATGTGAAGTAAGTTGGAAACACATGAATAAGAAAGAGATTGGAGATGGCATAAAAATTTTACGTAAGTTACTATGAAAGTTTGTTTTGCCTAACTTTATGTTATTAGGGAAATTATGTACTCTACTAGGCCTCCACATAGTATTTTTCAAAAGTATGAGGTATTCAACCTGAAAAGGAGATTTTTCTGATCCCCAAATAGTTAAAGGAACATGTTAAATTAGTGGAATAGGCAGTACAGTTGTTTACAATTATTCTGTACTTAAGGCATTGTGGTGAAGCATAGAATATGTTATTCTCAGATGTGCTCATGAACATCGTTCTAATTTGACAGTGCATTTCTGGCTATCGTGCCAAAGAAGCAGTGGAAATGTTAAAAGCTTTCTACAGACAAGAAAATCCCAATGGTAGGTTTCACATTAATGGATCCATTTTGATCCCAACCTAATTTAAAAGAATGCTGGCACTCGTAATGCTGTAATTCACTTCTGATGTTTTTTCTCCCTTTCTGTTTCTTCTTGGCAGCACCAAAATCAAAAGTACGGAAAAAGGACCATCGTAATTAGCCCTACGCTGATGGGAGACAGAAACTTCGCAAAAAAGGATATGTGAAGGTTTCTTCAGCGTCCTTCTTTTTTAAAATGTACAATCCAATTAAACTATGTCTAATGTTCTGTACGGAGTTTTTACTAATAGGATACTTACTACCTGTTCCTGTGTTTCTATGTATGTGATTTCTTGTTATCATACATGACCAAGCGGAAGAGTAAGTGGCTGTTTTTAGGAAGAGGAAAATTTATGGTTCAAGTTCACTTGTTTACAGCCAGATGGATCCATTAAAATGATGCCATTCTGTACAGCACATTCTAGAATATTTTCTTTCCTTCTGTCTGTGGAGGAGCATCTTGCCTTTCAGTAGTAAACGTTTGCTTAGGCAAGTCCAACTAAATCTCTTGGAAGGTTACGTTTGTAAGACCTTCACAGTCCTTGTGTGTATATTTAATCAAAAGGCATATAAGGAATTGTACAGTCCTTGAAGATTTGAGGTAAAAGCATTGTAATAGTTCTTCATTGTTCTTTACACCCCCTCTAGCATAAGCCAAATTTTCAAACATAACTTCTGAAAGTCACATACGTATGTAGACAGCTATATATGCAGAATCACGTCTCAGTTTGTGTATGCTATTGCTAATAAGCGTAAGTAAGCATCACTTGGCTGCACAGCATCTTCATACAAAGTTGTGGAGAAACTCTCCACAACTCTCTTTAGACTGTCCACTCCTCTTGTGAATATTAGCATAAGAAATGCTTTATCGTTGAGAATCGCTAAGAAGTTGAAGTTGTTCTCAGCTACTAAATTAGAGTAACTGAGATGGGCAAATACATGTGAAAACCAGGAAATGAAATTGGTAATGGTATGAAGAAAATATCTTTGAGATGTTTATCTTTTTGTAGCGTTGGTTGGCTTTGTCATTTCCGTGCACTTTGCTTGCCCATGCAGTAATTTATGATCCAGAAGAGGGCCTTACAGTTCCACTAATGAATTAAGAATACAAGTACAGTTCAATCTTGATTATATACCTCTTAGTGGATACTTATCTTAAACATGAAACTGTTTGTAGTTTATTTGGCTGATACTCAGAAATTTGAGAAATGCCTTAACTTTTTTTTTAATGTAAAAGAGTGATCAGAATTCTATGACTATAAAAACGGAATACCATTAAACCTTTTAGATATTTCAAATAAATATTTTCAAAAGTGTTTTTTAAAAGAACATTAAAAGCATTACTTTGTCACCATTCCTCCTAATAGCTTAGAATTTGTATTTTGTGTATTTACTTATTGTTTACAAAGTGACATGGGAAAGAAGCATTTTTACCATAACAGCTATTTTCAGAGTTTAGAAATAGTATTCCGTTAACTTAAGCCCTTTAACTGATGCCTGTCTCAGACCTATTCTCCTGACTATTACAGCTCTCTTTGAGTCTTTTCCTTTTGTTGTGGTTTAACCCCGGCCGGCAACTAAGCCCCACGCAGCCGCTCGCTCGCTCCCCCCTGGTGGGATGGGAGAGAGAATGAGAAGAGTAAAAGTGAGAAAACTCATGGGTTGAGATAAAGACAATTTAATAGGTAAAGCAAAAGCTGCACACGCAAGCCAAGCAAAACAAGGAGTTGATTGCCTACTTCCCATCGGCAGGCAGGTGTTCAGCCATCTCCAGGAAAGCAGGGCTCCATCATGCGTAATGGTTACTTGGGAAGACAAACGCCATCACTCCGAATGTCCCTCCTTCTTCCCCCAGTTTTATATGCTGAGCATGATGTCATATGGTATGGAATATCCCTTTGGCCAGCTGGGGTCAGCTGTCCCAGCTGTGTCCCCTCCCCGCTTCTTGTGCACCCCCAGCCTACTTGCTGGTGGGGTGGGTGAGAAGCAGAAAAGGCCTTGGCTCTGTGTAAGCACTGCTCAGCAGTAACGAAAACATCCCTGTGTTATCAACACTGTTTCCAGCACAAATCCAAACCATAGCCCCATACTAGCTACTGTGAAGAAAATTAACTCTACACCAGCCAAACCCAGCACACCTTTCCATAAGCAAAAGAAGTTACCGCTGTGTTTGTAGATTTCATCAGCTTCGGAGCTGTGAGGGCTCGTGAACCAGACAGCTAAACTGGAAAAGCTATTTAGGAAAAGACCATTTTTAATGCATGTGATGGCTTTATTAGAAAGAAACGGTCACACTTGTGGTTATAGTATTTGGCTAGTGATAGAAGATAGCTAGCTATTTATCTATACAGGTACGTACATTCAGTTCTCAACTGGACGCTAATTTTCTTACACCTTGAAGAAGTCACTGAAGTCCAAGTTAAAGGAAGATAGGCTGCTGGCTTGTCACTGACATCAGTGACGGTAGGAATTGGAGCCTACAAGCTCTTTTGGACCAGGACCTAAATCTCTCAGCACCTGTTCTTCTGCAGAGTGGTGAAGAATGCTTTCCTTCCCCACTGCCTTATTTCAAAGAAGAATGTTGTTAGCACTTGGACAATGTGACAGTAGCAGCCATGTAAATAAGTAGATTACTGGTAGTAGGACAAAACACACCTTAAAAGCTGTATCCAATTCTGCAGTCCTTAAAAGTGGAACAAATATTTTGTAACAGCAGTCAGTGGTAACCTGTCACTCAGAAAACAGTTTAAGTAAGTCCTGCTCATAGCCAAAGGAGGCTGAAGAGGGTGACAAAAATAAAAATGTCTCTTAAGAGCGATCAAGGGTAATAACGTGCATCTTAGAAAAGGGGCATGAAAGAGGAATAGCATAGCAAGCTAAAAACTATTGTATTATAGAAAGGTTATAAAAGATGCTTCTGTTTACTATATAGTGTAATGTGTGAGCAAAAAAACCCAGTCTAGTATTAAGAGGCACATTTGGATGTGTGGTTTTTTAAGTATAATAATTAGTTTGGGGAACAAACTGCTAAAAGATTACACTGAAAGCAAAAATGTAGCCCATTCTCCTTAAAATCCTATTACTTACGTGAGTAAGAACAAGTGCAGATACGCAGGTATTTTTATAAAAGAAAGGAATTAACTCGTGTTTGAAGACAAGCCGCTCATCAGAGCCGTGGCATGACATCTTGAGAACCGGCACGCGCGCGGCCGCCTCCTCCTCCTCCTCTCCCCCCGGGCAGTGCTGTCCTCCCCCCCTGCAAACGGCCAGGCTTCCACCATGGCAGCAGCAGCTCTGGCAGCCCACCGCGGGGGCTGGTCCTGTTGCCCTCCACTTGCCACTGCCCTCAGAGGTGTGCCTGGGGCAGTTGTCCCTGTCTGATGTCTTCCTACCCACGAGTTCTGAGTTTGTCAGCGCTGTCTAGAGTCGGATTCACAAACCTGAGTGCTCCACAAGAAATTACGGCGATCCTGGGCAGAAGGCTCTAGGTTCAGGCTCAGGGAAACATCTCCATGGCTAAACTCAACACAGGGGCTGGAAGAAGGCAGGAGGCAGCCACGACAGTTATAACCCAATGAGCTGACCAGTTTTAGTGCTCCAGATCAGAAAACGAACTTAACAAGAAAAAAAATTGGAGAATACAGAAAGAAGAAATGTCAGAAAAAGAATTGGACCATTCTTGGAACGCTTATTCAGGGAGGAGACAGTTGCTCATGACTGTGGAAGCACAGGCTTGGTTTGTAACTGTTGCTACCAAATAAATCCTGCAGCAAACCATGCCAGAGGCACCCCAGGAATCAAGAGCTGATGGGTTGGTTGCCCAGCCTGGAAGAAGTGTTGCTGTCTGCTTGCTGGGGACCTAGTCTCAGGCTTTGGCTCTTTAGAGCAACAACTTTAATTGTTACTACCACCTGGAAAACTCAGAGCAGCGGCTTACGAATGATGCTATTCATTTTCACAGTGCTTTTACTTATTTTTATCTGTTTGTGTCTATGTTGCCACATGGCAGGCCTCAAGAGCAGCAGTAAATATATTCAACTGGTTTATTTAAAGAAGTTTAAATGCTTTACATCACCATTTTTCCCTTGCTGCTTGGTAAATAAATACTTAGGCTTCAGCGTTACATTTACCTTGGACTGCATTTTTGCCAGTTCATCACAAGCAAACATGATTTTATTTCAGCCTTTGGTTTGCTTGTCAATAGTCTGACATCAAAATATATTGAACCAGCTAGGAGGGCAAGGAAGCAAAACAACACGGCTTTGTCTCTGCTAAACCGATTACAATTGACAATCCAAGGCTATAATAAATATGTCTTGTGACTTGCACACTAGAGGAGAGCCTGAATTTAAATTATAGCTTTGGGTTTTGAAACGCTCACTGATCCATTCCATTCCCATTAAGAGCGCCTTCCGCTTTGCGAAATTAAGTGATGTCTTTACATGACAGTTTAATTTAATTAATTTATTTTTCGATATGTACATGTATTGAGTTTCTCCATTAAGCTTTTGAAATGTCTGTAGGTCCTATGCATTAATGTAAATGCGCCATGGCCCATAATTACCTTTGGCAGGCTTAGGGCACTGATAAAAAGATTATATTTTTAAAAACTAAAGTCTTCAAACTTCCCCAGTGCTTGGCAGGAAATCTATTTCTGTGTTTTATTTGGAGCAAGGCTGGGGAGCCTGCAGCCAACAGCTCCAGTGTAGGCAGTAACTGTTACATTTTAGAAGAAAATACGTTTGACGCTAAATGAGAGAAGGGAAGAGGAAGACAATTAGTGCGAGAGTACTAGAAGCAGCTGTTTATTTGTTTTGCCTTGTGGCTGCCAACATATATCTTATCATTAAAGTGCATCTAGAAACGGGGTATGTTCTATGAAATTACTTTGCAAAACATGGATCTTCGTCTTTTTAAGGGGCTGCCCCAAAGTGAGTTTATCTTCCTTTTTCACAACAGCTCTGCGCCAGCCAAGAATGCTGGATTCTCCCCTTGCCTCCTCCTCTCTCCTTTCTAAAAATGAACTTTTCAGGGAAATAAGGAATTCAGAGAAGTTTGAAGGAGAGCAGATGGCCAACAGTGATCCAATAGGATGTAAAACTTCAGTTAGGTAGTCACTTG